GGTGGTGGGCGCCTGTAGTCCCAGCTACTCGGGAGGCTGAGGCAGGAGAATGGTGTAAAAACCCGGGAAGCGGAGCTTGCAATGAGCTGAGATCCGGCCACTGCACTCCAGCCTGGGCGACACAGCAAGACTCCGTCTCCAAAAAAATAAATAAATAAATAAATAAAAAATAAAAATAAATAAAAATCATGATGGTAGTCACACAAATCCAAACGTGTTGAAATTCACAGAACTGCTGGGCTTGGTGGTTGATACCCGTACTGTAATCCCAGCTACTCAGGAGGTTGAGGTGGAAGGACCACTTAAGCCTCGGAGGTGAAGGCTGCAGCGACCTATGACTGCGCCACTGCACTCCAGCCTGGGCAACAGAGCGAGACCTTGTCTCTTAAAAAAAAAAAATAATAATTGTCTGGGCGCAGTGGCTCATGCCTGTAATCCCAGCACTTTGGCAGGCCGAGGCGGGCAGATCACGAGGTCAAGAGATCGAGACCATCCTGGACAATACGGTGAAACCCCGTGTCTACTAAAAATACAAAAATTAGCTGGGCGTGGTGGCGGGTGCCTGTAATCCCAGCTACTTGGGAGGCTGAGGCAGGAGAATCACTTGAACCTAGGAGGCGGAGGTTGCAGTGAGCTGAGATCGCACCACTGTGCTCCAGCCTGTGACAGAATGAGACTCCGTCTCAAAAAAAAAAAAAAAAAAAAAAAAAAAAAATCACAGAACTGCCATGGACCACAAACTCTCAGGCAAACGACTGGTCTCTCGGCCTCTGTCCCTCTTCTCTGTGACCCACCCCAGCAAGCAAGGTGGGTTGTTTCTCCTTCAGTTTTGCTTCCCAGCCTTTGCTGCAGGCAGCATCACCTTTTCCCAGCAGTGTCCAATCACTGTGCATTGTGGGCCACAGCTCTGCCACATCCAATTTTCCTTTTTCCAACCTGTTTGAAGGTCGCCTGTGTCCTGGACAGCACCCCAAGGCTGGCTCCTCCCAGGACAAGGATGAGGAGGAAAGGGAGAAGCCCCTTCCTCCCCCGCCCCCCCGCAGAGCCTGTCCCCAGCTCACATGTGCAGATGGCCTTACTGACTCTGGAGATGAAAAGGGGTGTGTCGGAAGCTTGGCTCCTGGGGCTCCTCTGTGTCCTGTGCTATGTCCCCGTCTGTAAATGAATTTCAAATGTGATGGGAACAGAGGCTGCTGGTCAGAGCTGCTCTGCTAGCTGAGGTCAGAACGGGCCACTTCACACCTGTTTGAGTAAACACACGTGTAGGTCACTCGTCCCAGTCACCAAGTGATCCCTTCAGCCCTGGACCCCCTCTTACTGCTGTGTTGGTACCCAGCTATCACCCCAAGCCAAATCCTGGAAGCCATCTGGGAGAACAATGGCTTTATTCAGATGTCGGTGCCTCTGCCCCTCTGGTGTCCCCAACCCCCAAAAGGGGCTGCAAGATGGGCAGGTCACAGCAGGGCGAAGTCCCCTTTGTGCTGTTCCAGCCACTGGTCCAGCGTCAGGGCCTTGGGGTTGAGTCTCAGGGTCAGCTCGATGTCATGGTCGGGTCTTAGGGCATAGAAACGGAACATGTTGGCCAGGTCCCGGGCCCCGGGAAAGCCAAGCTTTTCATAGTCCTCAGGAGTCATCTGGAAGCAGAGAAGCCTGTTGTGGCCGGTGTCCTCCAGTGCCCTGGGAGGTGGCAGGCTGGGGGGGAAGGCCGGATGGGCTGGGGTCTCCCGACTTGCTACACCCAGAACCACTACTGTCTTGGTCGCTGACCCAGGTCCTCAGTACAAGGTCATTTGAAAACGCAGAAGTTAGAAAAGCCGAAAGTTGATAAACCGCTACTCTCCTGAGCAGCCTGACATTCTAGATCAGTTTAAAGATTGTTCTTAGCCAGAGGCTGTGGCTAATTCCCATAATCCCTGCACTTGGGGAGGCTGAGGCAGGCAAATCACTTGAGGCCAGGAGTTTGAGACCAGCCTGGCCACCACGGTAAAACCCCATCTCTACCAAAAATACAAAAATTAGCCGGGCCTGGTGGTGGATGCGTGTAATCCCCGCTACTTAGGAGGCTGAGACAGAAGAACTGCTTGAACCCAGGAGGTGGAGGTTACAGTGAGCTGAGATCACACCATTGTACTCCAGCCTGGGTGACAGAGTGAGACCCTGTCTCAAAAATGAATAAATAAAAAGACTATTATTTTCAGATCATGAGATGAAAATATCTCAATCTCTTCCAAATCAGAGACCTCCCTGCATCACTTTCTTGCTCAAAAACCAAAGCTTGACCGGACATGGTGGCTCACACCTGTCATCCCAGCGCTTGGGGAGGTGGAGGTGGGAGGATCGCTTGAGCCCAGGAGTTCGAGACCAGCCTAGGCAACAAAGCGAGACCCCTTCTCTACAAAAAATTTTCAAAAATTGGCCAGGCCCAGTGGCATGCACCTACAGTGCCAGCTACTTGGGAGGCACAGGTGGTGGGGTTGCTTGAGCCTGGGAGGTTGAGGTTGCAGTGAGCTATGATTACGCCACTGCACTCCAGCCTGGACAAAAGAGTGAGACCGTCTCAAAAACAACACACACAAGACAAACAAACAAAAAACCAAAGCTGTTCCCATCCCCACTGAGCTGAATCTTAACTCCTCAGCTCCCCAAATCTTCCATGACCTGGCTCAGGCCTTTTTCTTTTTTAAAGCAATGTAAGTCATTTAGTGCATATTTTGGAGGTGTTAGGCATAGTACTAAAACAAAGCTTTTGCAGTTTTTTTCATTTAATCCTCACAACAAACCAAAGGGGTGTATACTATTGATACACTCATTTCACAGATGAGAAAACAGGTAGGGGGGTCAGGAAACGTTCCTGAACTTACACATTGGCAGGTCTCAATGGCTGGAACCAGATCTCAGCCCAGGAGGCTGACCCCCCTAAACCCTGAACCTTTCTGTGCCACGGCCTCCTCCCATTACTGTACTGGGTCTCAGTAGGGCTCTAAGGGTGACTTTTGTCTTTGTTGTTGTTAAGACTGAGTCTTACTCTGTCGTTCAGACTAGAGTGGCGGTAGGGTGCACATAGCTCACTGCAGCCTCGAACTCCTGGGCTCAAGCAATCCTCCCACCTCAGCCTCCTGAATAGCTGGGACTACAGGCACGTACCATCACACATGGCTAATTTTTATTTTTTCTAGAGAAGGGGTCTCCCTATGGTTCCCAGGCAGGTCTTGAACTCCTAGGCTCAAGTGATCCTCCTGCCTTGGCCTCCTGAATAGCTGGGGCAACAGGTGCTCACGACCACAATCGGGTTATTTTTGTATGTTTTGTAGAGATGGGGTCTCACTATGTTGCCTAGGTTTGTCTTCAACTCCTGAGCTCAAGCAATCCTCCTGCCACAGCCTCCCAAAGTGCTGGGATTACAGGTATGAGCCAACGTGCCCAACTAACTTTTGTCTTTTTTTTTTTTTCCTGAGATGGAGTCTTGCTCTGTCGCACAGGGTGGAATGCCGTGGCGCGATCTCGGCTCACTGCAACCTCCGCTTCCCAGGTTCAAGCAATTCTCCTGCCTCAGCCTCCCTAATGGTTGGGGTTACAGGTGCTTGCAACCATGCTGGCTAATTTTTGTATTTTTAGTAGAGACAGTGTTTCACCATGTTGGCCAGGCTGGTCTCCAGCTCCTGACTTCGTGATCTACCCAGCTGGGCCTCCCACAGTGCTGGGATTACAGGTGTGAGCCACCATACCCAGCTCAACTTTTGTCTTTTGTTTGTTTGTTTAGTTTGAGACAGAGTCTCGCTCTGTCCCCTAGGCTGGAGTGCAGTGGCACGATCTAGGCTCACTGCAAGCTCCGCCTCCTGGGTTCACACCATTCTCCTGCCTCAGCCTCCCGAGTAGCTGGGACTATAGGCGCCCGCCACCACGCCCGGCTAATTTTTGTATTTTTAGTAGAGACGGGGTTTCACCGTGTTAGTCAGGATGGTCTCGATCTCTTGACCTCGTGATCCGCCTGCCTCGGCCTCCCAAAGTGCTGGGATTACAGGCGTGAGCCACCACGCCCAGCCCAACTTTTGTCTTTTAAGGACTCCAGTGTTTCCCAGATTCTTTTTGTTTGTTTGTTTGGAGTCTCGTTCTGTCACCCAGGCTGGAGTGCAATGGCATGATCTCGGCTCACTACAAACTCCGCCTCCTGGGTTCCAGTGATTCTCCTGCCTTAGCCTCCCAAGTAGCTGGGATTACAGGCGCCTACCACCACACCCAGCTAATTTGTTTATTTTTAGTAGAGATGGGGTTTCACCATGTTGGCCAGGCTGGTCTCGAACTCCTGACCTCAGGTGATCCACCTGCCTCAGCTTCCCAAAGTTCTGGATTACAGGCGTGAGCCACTGCACCCGGCCTTCCAGATTCTTTAATGAGTAGGTCTTACTTTCCTAATGGTAATGACAGACATTAGAAAACAGGTACCCAAGAGTCTGTCCAGTAGGCCTCCTGCCCACCCAGCCAGGCCAATATTGGGGGCAGGGGTTGGGCCTCTCTTTCTAGACTCTTTCCCTTCAAATCCCCTCCCACAGAGGAGCCCAGCAGGGCCTGCATTTTCACCCCTCCTCCTGGAAGCTTTTCTCGCTACTTGGCCAAAACATCTAAGCCAGAAATTTCACTCTGTGGCCACTTAGCTCCTAGAACAGCAGAAAATAAACGTTGACAATGAACAAATGAATTTAGATGCATTTCCCAGAGGGGTGGGCAGCCCTGGATACACCCTCCCTATGGGGAGCTAGAAAGCCCTGACACAGCTGCCTGAGTCCCCCGGGGTGGGAGGCCCACCTTGGCATCGTGCACGACTTTGTGGGTGTGCTTGGTGAGCAGGGCAGCGTACTCCTCAGCCGTGTGCCTACAAGTACTCAGCCCAATGTTCTGGCCGATGTATTTTTCTGGCATCTTCAGCAGGCTGAGCACCACGGGACCCAGGTCGGACACAGACATGCCATCCATGGGAACGTCACCTGTGGGCAGGCCTGTGGGGCACAGACATGAGCTGGCACATGTCCCAAGGGCAGACCCGGGCAGGGACAGAGCCCCTCTCCAAAGGGTCCAAGCTGGTTCTTCCCAGCAGTCAGCTGCATACTCCAGCACTCAGGCATAGCTAAGATATGTCTTGCTATTTGTGGTAGCACAGAGGTAGCAGTGGAATTCAGTCAGGAAGCAGGATGGAATCCAGCTACTGCCACCTGGGGCAGGCTGTTGAGGCTCTCTGAGTCTGGGTTGCTGCATTCCCAGAATGGGGCTAAGAACCTGGGCCTGCCCAGCTCTCTTAGCGCTAGGATGATGGACAAGGGACAAAGGAAAAGGACTTTGAAAGCTGCTACAGAGAGTGCGGCTGGAGCCCAGGGTCTCCGCTGATCCTGAGGCACCAGCCTGAAGTACTCTGTCACATCCTAAATTCCTGGAAGCTGGAATGTCCACCTCTGGGTGGATACTCTAAATACCAACTCACTTACCAGAAATCCTGATTAACCAGACACCAAGGGCTGGCCCAGAGCAGCACGTCCATGATAAAAGCTTGATAAATCCTGAATGAATGAATGACTTGCAACTTTCCAGGCTGAGGTTTTGTAGATGGGGAGGCTGGCAAGGGTCTGGGTGTGGCCTGTGGAATGCTTGGGTGCCATCCTCTTACCTAGAGACGGGCCAATGCAGCTCCCTGTTCAGATCCCCTAGGAGCTCGAGGGCACAGAGCTCAGAGACCGGAGCAAGAGATATCCCTGACTGGAGGTTTTTTTTTTTTTTTTTTGAGACAGAGTCTTGCTCTGTCGCCCAGGCTGGAGTGCAGTGGCGCCATCTCTGCTCACTGCAAGCTCCGCCTCTCGGGTTCACACCGTTCTCCTGCCTCAGCCTCCAGAGTAGCTGGGACTACAGGCGCCCGCCACCACGCCTGGCTAATTTTTTGTATTTTTAGTAGAGACAGGCTTTCACCATGTTAGCTAGGATGGTCTCGATCTTCAGACCCTGTGATCCACCCTCCTCAGCCTCCCAAAGTGCTGGGATTACAGGCCTGAGCCATCGCGCCCAGTCTTTTTGTTTGTCACGGGGTCTTGCTCTGTCGCCCAGGCTAGAGTGCAGTGCCACGATCTCAGCTCACTGCAACCTCCGCCTCCTGGGTTCAAGCAATTCTCCTGCCTCAGCTTCCCAAGTAGCTGGGATTATAGGTGTGCACCACCACGCCGGGCTGGCTAATTTTTGTATTTTTAGTAGAGATGGGGTTTCACCATGTTGGCCAGGCTGGTCTCGAACTCCTGACCTCAGGTGATATCCCCACCTCAGCCTCCCAAAGTGCTGGGATTATAGGCATGACCCACCGCGCCTGGTCCTCCTCCTTATCTTTGAAGGAGAACTGACAATCACTAGGTCCTCTCTGTAAAGCCTTCCAATGGACCAAGCGAGCATTGCATCATCACTGTCTCAGTAGATTTTGCCACCCTTGCAAACCTCAGTATAAAGCCCATCTCACAGAACAGGAAGTCGAGGCCCCACAAGCTGACAGGACATGCTCAGTCCTGGGCCCAACGTGAGGGAGCCATGGCTCGGACCTGGTACCACGTGATAGCGGCCCAAGGTCTGCTACACTAACAGCTTCACAAGGTGGAGAGCTCTGCCTCACCGTGTGCGAGGAAGGGCACTCACTCAGCAAGTAGCTCTTTCCATCTGGGGCTTTCTGGGGCAAGAAGTGGGAGAGGAAGTTCTCGAAATAGCAGGGCAGCCGCACACTGGTCATGGGAACGCCGATGTCTCGGAAATATTCCTCCACCTCTCCTTTGCCGTCAAAGTGCGCCGCGGTCAATCTCCCTGCTGTCAGCTTCTTGATGTTCTGTAGGCCGCTATAGACCACATAGTGGAGGCCCAGATGCTTGGCCAGATCAGCGAGCAGCTTCCCCTGGAGGGCAGGGAAAGAGAGATCACAAGGCTCAGAGGAAGGACGTCTGTCCCTGGTCACGGCCCCAGTGTTCTAATCCCAGAGCGGCCACCATCTGCGAGGTTAACAGCCAGACCCCACTTACCCCTGAGGAGGCCCCCTCTCCTGGAATGATGTTCACATATGACGGCACACCCGTTAACACAGCCCTGGAAGCCTTCTACCAGCCACCAACTCTGGCCCACCATGTGCAACACAGGAGGGGCGAGGAGGTCGGCTGCAGGGGGACGGCCTACATGGAGGCCCAAAGGATAATGCACGTGTCCCATTTCTGCTGGTGTGAGAACACCCTGCCCACAGAGCTCAGCCATCTTCCTTGGAGAGCCCTGGGAGACTATAGTGACACCACAGCTGCATAGGTTCCAATCAGGCTCTGCCATGTACAAGCTGTGTGACCCTGGACAGGTGATGGCACCATCCTGAGCTCGTTGGTTAAATGCAGATGACAACACTACCTACTGCATGAGGTGATGCAGGGATTCGGACGGTGGCCTCAAAAAGATACGCCACATCCTCACTCCTGAAACGTGTGAATGTGACCTTATTCAGAAAAAGGGTCTTGGCAGATGTAATTATGTGAAGGATCTTGAGATGGGAACATCCTGCACTAACTAGATGGGCCCTAAATCCAGTAACCAGGGTACTTATGAGAGACGGGAGAGGAGATGAACTTGGAGAAGGCCATGTGAAGAGGGAAGCAGAGATGGGAGCTTTGTGGCCACAAGCCAAGGAACACCTGGAGCCACAAGAAGCTGGAAACGGTGAAGAAGGATTTCCCTCGAACCCCTTGTTTTGTTTCGTTTTGTTTTGAGATGGAGTCTCACTTTGTCACCCAGGCTGAAGTGCAGTGGCACAATCGTGGCTCACTGCAAGCTCTGCCTCCCAGGTTCACGCCATTCTCCTCTCTTAGCCTCCTGAGTAGCTGGGACTACAGGCGCCCGCTACCACTCCCGGGTAATTTTTTTCTATTTTTAGTAGAGACAGGGTTTAACTGTGTTAGCCAGGATGGTCTTGATCTCCTGACCTCGTGATCTACCTGCCTGGCCTCCCAAATTGCTGGATTACAGGCGTGAGCCACCGCGCCCGGCCTGTTTTTTTTTTTTTTGAGACGGAGTCTCGCTCTGTCGCCCAGGTTGGAGTGCAGTGGCCGGATCTCAGCTCACTGCAAGCTCCACCTCCCAGGTTTACGCCATTCTCCTGCCTCAGCCTCCTGAGTAGCTGGGACTACAGGCGCCCGCCACCTCGCCCGGCTAGTTTTTTGTATTTTTAGTAGAGATGGGGTTTCACCGTGTTAGCCAGGATGGTCTCAATCTCCTGACCTCGTGATCCGCCCGTCTCGGCCTCCCAAAGTGCTGGGATTACAGGCTTGAGCCACCACGCCCGGCCTTGTTTTGTTTTTTTAAGATGGACTCCCGCTCTGTCACCCAGGCTGGAGTGCAGTGGTGCGATCTCTGCTCACTGCAGCCTCCGTTTCCTGGATTCAAGCAATTTTCCTGCCTCACCCTCCTAAGTAGCTGGGACTACAGGCCTCAAATCAGCGCTCAGCTGATTTCTATGGTTTTAAGCCACGTGGATTGTGGTCCTTTGTTGTGACAGTACCAGGAAGCCCACACGGAATCATCAGGATTAGAAATAAGATCTGCTGGGCTGGGCGCGGTGGCTCACAACTGTAGTCCCAGCACTTTGGGAGGCCGAGGCAAGCAGATCACCTGAGGTAAGGAGTTCGAGACCAGCCTGACCAACATGGAGAAACCCCGTCTCTACTAAAAATACAAAAAAATTAGCCAGGCATGGTGGCACATGCCTGTAATCTCAGCCACTCGGGAGGCTGAGGCAGGAGAATCACTTGAACCCGGGAGGCGGAGATTGCGGTGAGCCAAGATTGCGCCATTGCACTCCAGCCTGGGCAAAAAGAGTGAAACTCAGTCTCAAAAAAGAAAGAAAGAAAGAAAAGAAATAAGATCTGCTTAGGGCCGGGCATGTGGTTTACGCCTGTAATGCCAGCACTTTGGGAGGCCAAGGCGAGCAGATCAGATGAGGTCAGGAGTTCAAGACCGGCCTGGCCAACATGGTGAAACCCTGTCTCTACTAAAAATACAAAAATTAGCTGGGCGTGCTGGTGCACACCTGTAATCCAAGCTACTCAGGAGGCTGAGGCAGGAGAATTGCTTGAATCCGGGAGGCAGAGGTTGCCGTGAGCTGAGATTCCACCACTGCACTCCAACCTGTGCGACGGAACAAGACTCCGTCTTAAAAGATCTGGCCAGTCACAGTGGCTCAAGCCTGTAATCCCAGCACTTTGGGAGGCCGAGACGGGCGGATCACAAGGTCAGGAGATCGAGACCATCCTGGCTAACACAGTGAAACCCCGTCTCTACTAAAAATACAAAAAAAAAAAAACTTAGCCGGGCGAGGTGGCAGGCGCCTGTAGTCCCAGCTACTCGGGAGGCTGAGGCAGGAGAATGGCGTGAACCCGGGAGGCGGAGCTTGCAGTGAGCTGAGATCCGGCCACTGCACTCCAGCCTGGGTGACAGAGCGAGACTCCGTCTCGGGAAAAAAAAAAAAAAAAAAAAAAAAAAAAAAAAAAAGATCTGGCCAGTCACAGTGGCTCACGCCTGTAATCCCAGCACTTTGGGAGGCCGAGGCGGGCGGATCACAAGGTCAGGAGATTGAAACCATCCTGGCTAACATGGTGAAACCCCGTTTCTACTAAAAATACAAAAAATTAGCCAGGCATGGTGGCAGGCGCCCGTAGTCCCAGCTACTCGGGAGGCTGAGGCAGGAGAATGGCATGAAACCCAGGAGGCGGAGCTTGCAGTGAGCCAAGATTGCACCACCACACTCCAGCCTGGGGGACAGAGCAAGACTCCGTCTCAAAAAAAAAAAAAACAAGATCTGTGTTAATCAGAGAAGTTGTCTTTGTACGTTCTATATAATGGGTTTCTAGGTAAGACCATAATTGAAGAAAGGGTCAAGGCTAATAACAAGTTTGGATGGGTACACGTGGACATGAAGGCAACAACAGACACGGGACCATGGGAGGGACGGAGGCAAGGGTTGAAAACCTACCTACTGGGTACTGTGCCCACTACCTGGGTGACAGGTCAGGTCACACCCCAGACCCCAGCATCACTCAATATACCAATGTAACAAACCTGTGCATGTACCCCCGAATCTAAAATAAAAGTGTAAATTCTTTTTTTAAAAAAGCAACTTCTAACATTTTTCATTAAAAAACAAACAAACAGACCAGGTGTGGTTGCTCAGTGAGACTGAGACTGTCTCAAAAAAAAAAAGTCATTGGACGCAACAGCGTCCACCTGCTTCACAGCCTAGAGCAGGCAGAGGTATGAAGGAGAGGGAAAGGCCTGCAGTGGTCAGCCCTCCCTGCAGAGTTGGAGCTCCTCCCAGGCGCTCTGCTCCTAGCCTGGCCCAGCCTCCCTGCAGCTCCTGCTTGCCCTCACCTGCTTGACCTCCTTCTCCTGGCTGCAGCTCTCCCAGTAATTGGTCACAATGAAGGTGGCGTAAGCCCCATTCAGGGCCAGTTCCATGCTGACCTGGTCATCTTGGTCTCCCTTCACTACTTCTGCACCTTGCAGCCTCAGCTCCTTTGCTGCCTTCTTCCCAGGGTTTCGGGTCACCACTCGAACCTTAAATGTTCCATCTTCCAGGAGCGTGCGGGCCACGGAGCCACCCTGGGCACCTATAAAGAGTCAAAAACACCTCCCAGGTCAAACCTGCCTGAAAGTCCCACTGAAGGGCGAAACCCTGAAGGGAGTGCTCCACCACAGCAAGGAACACCCAGGAAACCTTCTCAGCGATGATTCTCATTCAATTATTTTTATTTTATTTTATTTTATTTATTTTTTTAAGATGAAGTCTCACTCTATCGCCCAGGCTGAAGTGCAGTGGTACGATCTTGGCTTGGTGAAACCCCACCTCTATCAAAAAATACAAAAATTAGCTGGATGTGGTGGCACATGCCCATACTCCCTGCTACTCAGGAGGCTGAGGCACGAGAATTGCTGGAACCCAGGAGGCGGAGGTTGCAGTGAGCTGAGATTGCACCACGGCACTGCAGCCTAGATGACAGAGTGAGAATCTGTATCAAAAAAAAAAAAAAAAAAAGGCCAGGCACGGTGGGTCACGCCTGTAATCACAGCACTTTGGGAGGCCAGGGCGGGTGGATAACAAGGTCAGGAGATTGAGACCATCCTGGCTAATACGGTGAAACCCCGTCTCTGCTAAAAATACAAAAACTTAGCCAGGCGTGGTGGCGGGTGCCTGTAGTCACAGCTACTCAAGAGGCTGAGGCAGGAGAATCACTTGAACCCAGGAGGTGGAGCTTGCAGTGAGCCCAGATCACGCCACTGCACTCCAGCCTGGGTGACCTGGGTGACAAAGTGAGACTCCCTCTCAAAAAAAAAAGGGCCGGCGCAGTGGCTCACACCTGTAATCCCAGCACTTTGAGACCACGGCAGGTGGATCACCTGAGGTCGGGAGTTTGAGAACACCCTAACCAACATGGAGAAACCACTGTCTCTACTAAAAATACAAAATTAGCCAGGCATGGTGGCACATGCCTGTAATCCCAGCTACTCAAGAGACTGAGGCAGGAGAATTGCTTGAACCCGGGAAGCGCAGAGGTTGCGGTGAGCCAAGATCGTGCCATTGCACTCCAGCCTGGGCAACAAGAGCGAAACTTGGTTTCAAAAAAATAAAGGTAAAAATATTTATGATGTAATAAAGTAAAAAAAGTAGAATACAAAACCATATTCAGGCTGGGTTCAGTGGCTGTAATCCCAGCACTTTGGGAGGCTGAAGTGGGTGGATCACGAGGTCAGGAGTTCAAGACCAGCCTAGCCAAGATGGTGAAACCCCATCTCTACTAAAAATAAAAAAAATTAGGCCGGGCGCAGTGGCTCACGACTGTAATTCCAGCACTTTGGGAGGCCGAGGCGGGAAGATCACGAGGTCCGGAGATCGAACAAGGCGAAACCGTTCTGGTTAACATGGTGAAACCCCATCTCTAGTAAAAATACAAAAACTTAGCCAGCCATGGTGGCAGGTGCCTGTAGTCCCAGCTACTTGGGAGGCTGAGGCAGGAGAATGGCGTGAACCCAGGAAGTGGAGCTTGCAGTGAGCCGAGATTGAGCCACTGCACTCCAGCCTGGGCGACAGAGCAAGACTCCGTCTCAAAAAAAAAAAAATTTGCTGGGCACGTGGCAAGAGCCTGTAATCCCAACTACTCGGGAGGCTGAGGCAGGAGAATCGCTTGAACCAGGGTGGCAGAGGCTGCAGTGAGCCGAGATTGGGCCACTGCACTCCAGCCTGGGTGACAGAGTAAGACTCTGTCTCAAAACAAAACAAAAACATATTCAGATCTTGATGGGATTTGAATTCTTCCTGAAGTAGAATATACAGTCATATTCAGATACACAACCATATTAAGATCTGCTCAAAAACGGGACAAAGAAAAATAGTTAAAAGAAAGGAATACAAAAACTTATTCCGATCTCAATGGAGCTTGAGTCACACAGGCATGCGCATCTGTCAGATATACCCTTAAGATTTTGTGCATTGCAGCTGGGCACGGTGGCTCATGCCCATAATCCTGACACTTTGGGAGGCTGAGTCAGGCAGATCTCTTGAGCCCAGGAGTTTGAGACCAGCCTGGGCAATGTGGTGAAACTGGCAACAAGGCGAAACCCTATCTCTACAAAAAAAATACAAAAATTAGCTGGGCATGGTGGCATGTGCCTCTAGTCCCAGCTACCAGGGAGGCTGAGGCTGGAGGAAAGCCTCAGCCTGGGAGATTGTTGAGGCTGCAGTGAGCCGTGATCACACACACCACTGCACGCCAGCCTGGGTGACAGAGTAAGGCCCTGTCTCCAAAAAAAAAAAAAAAAAAAATTATTATATATACCTCATAATTTAAAAATCTGTAAACAAATACTGAATTCTAGCTAATGTCATGCATGCCTTAGTATGGAAGGGCAGTGTACACATATCTGCAATTTACACGGAAATGCATCAAAAATAAGGACTGAGGCCAGGCACAGTAGCTCATAACTGTAATCTGAGCACTTTGGGAAGGTAAGGGGGGTGAGTTTTGCTTGAGGCCAGGAGTTTGAGACCAGTCTGGGCAGCAGGGTGAGACCCTGTCTCTACAAAAAATTAAAAAATCAGCTAGCCTGTTAGCGCTCATCTAAAGTTCCAGCTACTCAGGAGACTGAGGCAGGAGGATTGCTTGAGGCTTGGAAGTCAAAGCTGCAGTGAGTGATGACTGAGCCACTGCACTCCAGCCTGGGCAACAGAGCAAGACCCTGACTCAGAAAAAAGTGTACACCAATGTTCATGGCAGCATAATAGCCAAAAAGTGGAAATAAATCAAGTTCCATCCATTGATGAATGGATAAACAGAATGTGGTCTATCCATACAGTGGAATATTAGCTATAAAAATGAGTAAAGCTGTGAGGAGTTCGAGACCAGCCTGACCAACATGGTGAAACCCCGTCTCTACTAAAAAACTATAAAATTAGCTGAGTGTGGTGGTACACGCCTGTAATCCCAGCTACTTGGGAGGCTGAGGCAGGAGAATTGCTTAAACCCGGGAGGCAGAGGTTGCAGCAAGCAGCGATCGCGCCATTGCACTCCAGCCTGGACAACAAGAGAGAAACTCTGTCTCAAAAAAAAAAAAAAAAAAAAGAGTAAAGCTGGCCAGGTGCGGTGGCTCACACCTCTAATCCCAGCACTTTAGAAAGCTGAGGTGGGCAGATCACCTGAGGTCAGGAGTTCGAGACCAGTCTGGCCAACATGGTGAAACCCCGTGTCTACTAAAAATACAAAAATTAGCCAGGCATGGTGGCTTACGCCAGTAGTCCCAGTTACTCAGGAGGGTGACACAGGAGAATTGCTTGAACCCGGGTGGCAGAGGTTGCAGTGAGCAGAGATCACACCACTGTACTGCGGCCTGGGCAACAGAGGGGGACTCTTGTCTCAAAAAAAAAAAAAAGAGTAAAGCCCGGACACACACTATAACACGAACAAACCTTGAAAACATGCTAATTGAAAGAAGCCAGACAGAAAAGGCTACCTATTATGATTTTATTCATATGAAATGTCCCGAATAGATAAATCCATAGATACCAAAAGTAGATTGGAGCTTTCTAGGGGTTGGCTGGGAGGAGTTAGAATGGGGAGTAACTATTCATGGGTTCATGGAGTTCTTTTTTTTTTTTTTTTTTTGAGATCAGGTCTCACTCTGTCACCCAGGCTGGAGTGCAGTGGCACAATCAGGTCATTGCAGCCTTGACCTACTGGACTCAGGTGATCCTCCCACCTCAACCTCCCAGGTAGCTATAGGTGCATGTCACCATGGCCGGCTAATTTTTGTATTTTTTTGTAGAGACGAGGTTTTGCCATGTTGCTTAGGCTGGTCTGAAACTCCTCAGCTCAAGCGATCTGCCCACTTGGTCCAACTAAAGTGCTGGGATTACAGGGTTGAGTCACTGCACCTGGGTCAGAGTTTCTGTCTGCAGTGATGGGAATTTTCTAAAATTGATTGTGGTGATGGTTGTACAATTCTGTGAATACACTAGAAACCAGTGAGTTGCACACTTTAAACAGGTGGATTGTATAGTATGAGAATTATATCTCAATAAAGCTGTTATAGATATTAAATATGTATAAATAAAAAAATAGGAGTGAAGTAATATGCTATCATTTTTAAAAATGATAACGTGTTATCTACTCTGGCAGGATATTCAAGAAACTTGGTAACAGCGATAGATGAGGTAGAAGAGGAGGCTAGAAAGAAGATTTAATTTTGGTATCATGTTCAAGTACTCCTATTCAAGTAAGTTAAGTAACTTGTTTTTTTTAATTTGGAAAGCAGGTCGGGCATGGTGGCTCACACCTGTAATACCAGCACTTCGGGAGGCCGAGGCGGGTCGATCGCCTGAGGTCAGGAGTTTGAGACCAGCCTGACCAATACGATGAAACCCGGACTCTACTAAAAATACAAAAATTAGCCGGGCATGGTGGCATGCGCGTAATCCCAGCTACTTGGGAGGCTGAGACAGGGGAATAGCTTGAACCCGGGAGGCAGAGGTTGCAGTGAGCTGAGATAGTGCCACTGCACTCCAGCCTGGGTGACAGAGCAAAACTCCGTCTAAAAAAAAAAAAAAAAAAAGGAAAGCAATTCTGGCCTCGTTCCTGCGATCACAGCCCCAACTCGGGTCGGGGGTCCCAGTGACCTTACCCCTCCCTGCAGACCCCAGGACGGGCGGTCTTCAGGGCTGGGCGCCCTGGTTCTGCAGGGGCCCCAGTCTGGGGTTTCGCTCACCTGTGCCTCCGAAAACCACCACCAGTTTCTTGTCCGCCATGAGGACGAGAAGGGGACGAATGCGGTCCAGAGAGATCTGGGGGTAGTGGGAGGCGTGGAATTGGGGGTGGGGCCCGGGTTCCCGCCAGGAGCGACAAGGGACCCCCCATTGTCTGCGCACCGAGTATGTGTGGAGGCGGGCAGCTGGGCCCGGAGCGGCAAGACGCCTGTCCCGAGATATCGGGGTCCTACGACCCTCCTCGTCCCCCTTGGGCCCGATCCCCTCCCCTCCTCCGTCCCGCCTCCCCCGCCCGAGTCTGGTCACCCGCCCCCTGGCCCGGGTTCCACCGGCTGGAGTGACCTCCTTGCCGCGGCCTGGCCGGAACAAGTTCCAGGAGCCTGGGACCCCGATTCTGCGGCCAAGTCCACTGCAGAGGCGGGAATGGAGCTGCCCGCGAGGCGCCGACCCCGCCTCGCAGCTCCGGCCCCACCTGGCAGAGCGCCGCTGCCGGGAGCACAGCGTAGGAGGACCCCCGGCTGTAGCGGCCAATCCGGAAGTGTCGGCAGAAACTCCTCCTCCGGCGCTGTTGGCTCCTCCTTGCTCCTGCGGGACTTTGCGTCCTTTCCGGGTTTGCCCGCCCCAGGCACGTGCGCAGTGAATTTGTGTAAATCCGGTTAGACCGAAATGAGCGAGGTGAAGAGCCGCTTAACCGAATGCTGCGGGTGACCACTGGGAGGAGGAGAAAAATTACCTCTTTATCTTGCATGAACATCTGAATTTTCAGGTATTTGGCGTCAGGCAAAGATAGTTAAAGCAATGTCCACGACTCTTACCCCTTGAGGCCTTGTCCGCTGGATATTTGCTTTGCCTAACTCACTTTAAAAATTTTATTATTTTATTTTATTTTTTTGAGACAGGGTCTCCCTCTGTCGTCCAGGCTGGAGTGCAGTGGTGCGATCTCGGCTCACTGCAACCTCCGCCCCCCGGTGCAAGAGATTCTCCTGCCTGAGCCTCCCGAGTAGCTGGGATTACAGGCACCCACCACCGAGCCCAGCTAGTTTTTGTATTTTTAGTAGAGACAGGGTTTCACTTTCTTGGCCAGGCTGGTCTTGAACTCCTGACCTCGTGATCCACCCACCTCGGCCTCCCAAATTGCTGGGATTACAGGCGTGAGCCACCTCACCCGGCCTTTTCTTTTTAAGACAGAGTCTGGTTCTGTCGCCTAGGCTGGAGTGCAGTGGTGGCACAATGTTGGCTCAGTGCAACCTCCCCCTCCTGGGTTCAAGCGATTCTCCTGTCTCAGTTTCCTGAGTAGCTGGGATTACGGGCATGTGCCACTAAGGGAGGAGACCACCCCTCATATTGTCTTATGCCCAATTTCCACCTCCAAAGAAAGAAGTTAAAAACTAAAAGGCAGAAATGGAATCCACAGGCAGATAGCCCAGCACCACGCCCTGGGCCTGGTAGTTAAAAATCAAGCCCTGACCTAACTGCTTGTGTTATCTATAGATTTCAGACATTGTATGGAAAAGCATCGTGAAAATCCCTGTCCTGTTGCTTTCTGTTCTGATTACCAGTGCATGCAGCCCCCAGTCATGTACCCCCTGCTTGCTCAATCGGACCGACCCCCTTAGAGTTGTAAACCCTTAAAAGGGACAGGAATTGCTTAAAAGGGAGCTTGATTTTTGGAGACGTGAGTCCACTGATGCTCCCTGCTGAATAAAGCCCTTTCCTTCTACAATTCAGTGTCTGAGGGGTTCTTGTCTGCGGCTCACCCTGCTACACCACCATGCCCAGCTAATTTTTGTATTTCTAGTCGAGAGGGGGGTTTCACCATGTTGGCCAGGCTGTTCTTGAACTCCTGGCCTCAAACGATTCACCTGCCTCAGCCTCCCAAAGTGCTGGGAGTACAGGTGGGAGCCACCATGCCCAGCTTCTAACTCACTTTTGACGTTGCTACTACTTGCACTGATTTCGGGTTTTTTCGTTTTGTTTTGGTTTTTGTTTTCAAGGTGGAGTCTTGCTCTGTCGCCCAGGCTGGAGTGCAGTGGTGGTGTGATCTTGGCTCACTGCAGCTTCCGCCTCCTGGGTTCAAGCTATTCTCCTGCCTCAGTTTCCTGAGTAGCTGGGGTTACAGGCAGGAGCCACCATGCCTGGCTAAATTTTTTTTGTATTTTTGGTAGAGACGGAGTTTCGACATGCTGGCCAGTCTGGTCTCAAACTCCTGACCTCAAGTGATCTTCCCACCTCAGGCTCCCAAAGTGCTGGGATTACAGGCAGGAGCCACCATGCCCGGCCCACGACTTCAGTAATTTATTTGTGTTCAATAAAACTAAAAAATGACTCGGCATGGTGCGGCGGCCTGTAATTCCAGTGATTTGGGAGGCTGAGGCAGGAGGATCACTTGAGGCCAGGAGGTCAAGGCTGCAGTGAGCCAAGATCGTGTCACTGCACTCCAGTCTGGATGACAAAGCAAGACCCCATCTGTTAAAAGGGGGAATCGCCCCAGCGCAGCCGCTCACGCCTGTAATCCCAGCATTTTGGGAGGCCGAGGCGGGTGGATCATGAGGTCAGGAGATCGAGACCATCCTGGCTAACACGGTGAAACCCCATCTCTACTAAAAATACAAACAATTAGCCAAGCATGGTGGCGGGTGCCTGTAGTCTCAGCTACTTGGGAGGTTCAAGGAGAATCACTTGAACCCGGGAGGCAGAGGTTGCAGTTAGCCGAGATCATGCCACTGCACACCCTGGGCAACAGAGCGGGACTCCATCTCAAAAAAAAAAAAAGTCGGTGGGCGGGGGTGATCAGAATGAATATATTTAAGCCTCCCTCACATGGTTAACAAGAATTCTGGAGAGACACTCAGTTAAAATTAAGCACTAATCAGGCTGTGCACTTTTACTCACTTCCTTGTAATTGAAAGTCACTGAGAACTGACTTTTTGCCTCCCCATTGTTCCTATAGTTAGGATCTGTGACACTAGAATCATAAGCTCTTATTTAAGAATTGCTTAAGATATGACAAAAGCAGAAAGTGCATCATAAAAAAACAGATTGATTAAAAAATAAAAATAAAATAACTTAAAAAAAAAAGAATTGCTTAAGATATTTTTCAGATTCCAAATTCCAGGAAAAAAGGTGATGTCAACCAGTCTGAAGACCTCTGTGGAGTCAGCATGAGACTATAGTTCCTTCATCTCCCTGTCCTATGGCTTCCTTCTGCACTCTTCAACAAATCAACAGTCTCCACACTTTGGCCCACTTCAAAATCCTTAAAAACCCTAGCCCCAAATTCCTGGGCGAGACAGATTGAGGTTTCCTCCCATCTCCTCATTGGGTGGCCCTAAGATTTATTTTTTAAGAGACAGGGTCTCATTCTGTTGCCCAGGCTGGAGTGCAGTGGTGTGGTTATAGCTCATTGCAGCCTCAAATTTCAGGGTTCAAGCGATCCTCCCACCTCAGCCTCCCCAGTAGCTGGGAATAAAGGTACACAACACTATGCCCAGCTATTTTTTTTTTATTTTTTGTAGAAATGAGTTCTCCTATTAAGGGAGGAGACCACCCCTCATATTGTCTTATGCCCAATTTCTGCCTCCAAAGAAAGAAGAAGTAAAAACTAAAAGGCAGAAATGAAATCCACAGGCAGACAGCCTGGCGCCGCACCCTGGGCCTAGTAGTTAAAGATCCACCCCTGACCTAATTGGTTCTGTTATCTATAGATTACAGACATTGTATAGAAATGCACTGTGAAAATCCCTATCTTGTTTTGTCCTGATCTAATTACCGGTGCCTGCAGCCCCCAGTCACGTAACCCCTGCTTGCTCAATCAGTCACGACCCTCTCACGTGTACCCCCTTAGAGTTGTGAGCTCTTAAAAGGGACAGGAATTGCTCACTCGGCGGGGGGGGGCTCGACTCTTGAGACAGAAATCTTGCCGATGCCCCCGGCCGAATAAACCCCTTCCTTCTGCAACTCGGTGTCTGAGGAGTTCTGTCTGCTGCTCGTCCTGCTACACTATGTTGTCCAGCCTGATCTTGAACTCCTGGCCTTAAGTGATCCTCCTCCCTTGGCCTCCCAAACGTGCTGGGATTACAGGTATGAGCCACTGCACCTCGTTGGCCCTACCATTCAGCCTCTCTCTGCTGCAGCCCTGTGTCTTGGTGTATTGACTTGCTGTGCACATCTGGCAATAGACTATTACAGTTATATCTGTCAGGCCTCTGAGCCCAAGCCAACCATCGCATCCCCTGTGACTTGCACGTATACGCCTAGATGGCCTGAAGTAACTGAAGAATCACAGAAGTGAAAATGCCCTGCCCCGCCTTAACTGATGACATTCCACCACAAAAGAAGTGAAAATGGCCGGTCCCTGCCTTGAGCTATGACATTATCTTGTGCCTGGCTCATCCTGGCTCAAAAACCTCCCCCACTGAGCACCTTGTGACTCCCACTCCTGCCCGCCACAGAACAACCCCCCTTTGACTGTAATTTTCCTTTACCTACCCAAATCCTATAAAACGGCCCCACCCTCATCTCCCCTCCCAGACTCTCTTTTCGGGCCCAGCCCGCCTGCACCCAGGTGATTAAAAAGCTTTATTGCTCACACAAAGCCTGTTTGGTGGTCTCTTCACATGGACATGGATGACAATATTATTTTCACCAAAATTTATTATGAAAATGTGTAAACTGGCCGGGCGCGGTGGCTCAAGCCTGTAATCCCAGCACTTTGGGAGGCCGAGACGGGCGGATCACGAGGTCAGGAGATCGAGACCATCCTGGCTAACACGGTGAAACCCTCTCTCTACTAAAAAATACAAAAAACTAGCCGGGCGAAGTGGCGGGCGCCTGTAGTCCCAGCTACTCGGGAGGCTGAGGCAGGAGAATGGCGTAAACCCGGGAGGCGGAGCTTGCAGTGAGCTGAGATCCGGCCACTGCACTCCAGCCTGGGCGACAGAGCGAGACTCCGTCTCAAAAAAAAAAAAAAAAAAAGAAAATGTGTAAACATACAGAAAAGTTGAAAGAGCTGAATGGTGAACTCCCATATACTTACCATGTAGATATATTTATCCATCTATCCACTCATCAACTATCTTACTTTTTAAATGCATTTAAAGTGAGTTGCAGACACCAGTGCCCTTCACCCTTAAACACTTCAGTGTGGACATTAATTCGAGTTTGAGAAAATAATTTTTTTTTTTTTGAGATGGAGTTTCGCTGTTGTTGCCCAGGCTGGAACCTGGGTCTGCCTCAGCCTGCCGAGTAGCTGGGATTACAGGTGCCCACCACCACGCCCGTTTAATTTTTTGTATTTTTTTTTAGTAGAGATGGGGTTTCACCATGTTGGCCAGGCTGGTCTTGAACTGACCTCAGGTGATCCACCTGCCTCAGCCTCCCAAACAGCTGGGATTACAGGCGTGAGTCACCGCACCTGGCCAAGAAAATAAATTTTTATCTGAGGAATGTGAGTCCTTTTAAAATACAAGGCCCAGAGAGACGTTAAAATGAGACAGCAGGCGGGTAACCTGGCTCACATTTGTAATCTCAGCACTTCGGGAGGTCCAAGTGGGAGGATTGCTTCCAGGCATTCCACACCAGTCTGGACAACATAGGAAGACCCCATTGTCTTTGAAAACAAACAAAAAAAACCACTGGGAGGCCAATGGGGGTGGATCACTTGCGATCAGGAGTTTGAGACCAGCCTGGCCAATATGGTGAACTGTCTCTACTAAAAATACAAAAATTTGGCCAGGAACGGTGGCTCACGCCTGTAATCCCAGCACTTTGGGAGGCCAAGACGGGCGAATCGCGAGGTCAGGAGATCGAG